GTTTAATTCTGCATCAGTAGGTCCGACTGCTCTTTGTTAAAGGCGGTTCTATACGGGTTACTTTGGTAATATTCAATCAGGTCCACATAGGATAGCATCTAATCGCAGGATGGACTTCTAACAGTTTTTTAAATGTCACCGGAAAAAAGGTACTTAAATTCCTTCATTTTATTTTTTTTTTTTAGACACACACAGTGGACACAGAGAGAGACAGAGAGAGACAGGTCTTCCTTTTGCCGTTGGGTCACCCTCCAATGGCTGCCGCTGCAGCCGGCGCACCGCGCTGATCCGATGGCAGGAGCCAGGTGCTTTTCCTGGTCTCCCATGGGGTGCAGGGCCCAAGCACCTGGGCCATCCTCCACTGCACTCCCTGGCCATAGCAGAGAGCTGGCCTGGAAGAGGGGCAACCGGGACAGAATCCGGCGCCCCGACCGGGACTAGAACCCGGTGTGCCGGCGCCGCAAGGTGGAGGATTAGCCTATTGAGCCACGGCGCCGGCCCAAGCTAGTTTAATTTTTGATACCAACTTTCTTAACATCGGGAAATTAACAAACCATATGCTATCAAGTAATAAATGCAAATCGATTTTTCCATTACCTTTCCTGCTTTTCCTCTTAAAAGAATTAATGGTGGTGTTAATTCAATATTTTCTAAGAGGTGTGCATCACTTTATACAAGGCTAACAGACTGTTATTTTGGATTACTATCTATTTCATTGCCTGAATTTTTCTATTAATATCATTTCCTCTTTCTGAGAACTAGGGCCAAAATAGAGAAGAGTTGCTGCTACTTCAGTTGCTAACACTTTTCTCTGGGTTTATATTCTTCAGAGGCAAAACGTAAATGAGAAAGGTTGCAAGTGGAAATAACATTACAGAACAGCTTATTCTTGGAGAAGAAAGAATTCTAAACTTCTGAGTTATTCCTACTGCCCATTTTTCTGACTCCCTTTTCATGTCTTACCATGAAGAAGGCACCCCGGTGATAATACTTCTGCAAAAATTTGTATTTGCCCTTCACAGCTTTGTTGGTAATGACTTTGCCATTTGCCCGAAGCTCAGCTCGTCTCTCTTCCTCAGTCAGGTTCCGCATGCGTTCAATTTCTGCTTTCTCCTTCTCAAGTCTGTTCAGAGAACAAAATTATTTATTAGTATTGTTCTAGCTTCAAAGAGTTCCAGTCATGTGAAAACTGCATCCTATCTCCTTTCAAGCATTATTCACTTAGTTTAGCTCTAGGGATTGCCTGTTAGGAATCAAGATTAAGAGTTTGAGAAATATTGGCCGGCGTCGCAGCTCACTAGGCTAATCCTCTGCCTTGCGGTGCCGGCACACCGGGTTCAAGTCCCGGTTGGGGCACTGGATTCTGTCCCGGTTGCCCCTCTTCCAGGCCAGCTCTCTGCTGTGGCCAGGGAGTGCAGTGGAGGATGGCCCAAGTACTTGGGCCCTGCACCCCATGGGAGACCAGGAGAAGCACCTGGCTCCTGCCATTGGATCAGCGCGTTGTGCCAGCTGCAGCGCGCCGGCCGCGGCAGCCATTGGAGGGTGAACCAACGGCAAAGGAAGACCTTTCTCTCTGTCTCTCTCTCTCACTGTCCACTCTGCCTGTCAAAAAAAAAAAAAAAAAAAAAAAAAAAAAGTTTGAGAAATAAAAAGGTGAGTTATATTCATTATGTTTGCCACAGTGGGTACTGCAAATGTCCAGAAGTTGATTCTAGCTTTTGTGAGGTTCAGGTATGCTGTTACTGCTTAATTTTGCATACCAACAACATAGAGGTGCACAAACAGTCAAACGTAGAAGTAGCAGTTACTGGCTTTATGTAATAAAGGAAGCATTTATAACTCAAAAAAAAAATTTTTTTTTGGCATACCAATTCCTCCTCCCTAAAAAGCTTTATTAGTCTGAAAAAAAGTCACCGTGTATTTAAAGTAAAAGACTTTCTTTTGTGTAAGCTCATCATCATCATGTATGTGCTTACATGTAAACTAAGGGTTACTACTATCATGAATTTGATTGCAATGCCTGTTTTTAACCTTTTTGGGGGAGAGAAGGGTCACAGATCCCCCTTCTCTAGAAAAATGCACACATACACTTAATTTGCCAAACAGTCTTAAACAGTGCATGGACTCCTTAAAGCTCAGTATAGGGACATTAGAAACTACAGGCTGAGGACATTTATCTACTGATGGTCTCCTTTTATAATCTGAAATTATCCTCTCACATTCCTGGAATGGGTGACACAGTTCAGAAATAATTTTGCTTTAAGAGAGTGAGTGAGCGGCCAGTGCCATGGCTCACTTGGCTAATCCTCTGCCTACGGTGCTGGCACCCCGGGTTCTAGTCCCGGTTGCTCCTCTTCAAGTCCAGCTCTCTACTGCGGTCCGGGAGGGCAATGGAGGATGGCCCAAGTGCTTGGGTCCCTGCACCTGCATGGAAGACCGGGAGGAAGCACCTGGTTCCTGGCTTTGGATCAGCGCAGCGCCTGCCGTGGCAGCCATTAGGGGAGTGAACCAACGGAAGGAAGACCTTTCTCTCTGTCTCTCTCTCACTGTCTATAACTCTCTGTCTCTCTCTAACTCTGCCTGTCAAAAAAAAAAAAAAAAAGAGTGAGTGAGGTAGATATTTAAGTGCTGTAAATCCTCCCACTCACAGTATGCATGCCCCTTTTCTGTGTAACTTTGCTGTTCCTCCAATCTACAGGTGGAGTCTATTTATCTACTCCCTTGAACTAGGATGGCCTGTGACTTGCTGTGACCAGATGTCAAGTCCAGATTTGGCAGAAGTATTTATGAGTTCTGGAACTTAAGCCTCAGGAGGCCTTGCTAACATCCACCCCTGCCCTCTTGTAATGCTGCTCTGAGATTGCTAGGAAAGGTAGCTACTCAAGAAATGAGGTATTCCAGCTTACTGCCAACATCATCTACAAGACTTGGGAGTGAAACCCTTTTAGACTTTTTGGCCCAGTTACTCCCAGTAAAGGAACTGGTCAGCTAACTTCCAAAACTGAGAAATAATAAACTGTGTTTCAAGCTTCTTAAATTTTGGGTTGGGTTGCTACACAACCAGAGATAACAACATTGACTGTGTGTGTCTTAACAGGAAACAAAAGGGAGCATTAGGGGCCGGCACTGTGGTGTAGCGGGTAAAGCCACCGCTTGCAGTGCTGGCATTCCATATGGGCACCAGTTGGAGTCCTGGCTGCTCCACTTCCGATCCAGCTCTACGTGCTATGGCTTGGAAAAGCAGAAGATGGCCCAAGTCCTTATGCCTCTGCACTTGTGCAGGAGACCTGGAAGAAGCTCCTGGTTCCTGGCTCCTGCCACTGTGGCCATTTGGGGAGTCAAACAGTGGATGGAAGCCCTCTGTTTCTCTCTGTCTCCAACTCTTTGCCTTTCAAATTGAGAGAAAAAAAAAAAAAAAAAAAGCAAGAGCATTGGCTGGCACTCTATGATGGTGAACAAAGTATGTTTCTCCTCTCTGATTTCACTCTAATAAAGGAAACTCATATTCTACTTATGGGAGACTGACTTCAGCCATAAGATCCCTCAAGAAAACTAGAATGAAACTCATGGTGGATGCTATCAGAAACCTGTCCCATTAGTGGCATTAACTTAGGCCCATCCTATCACTCACGCTTCTCGATCTTCTCTGTCCCTCTTGATTCTTTTTAGCTCCCGGACTTTCCATGCCTCATATTCTTCCTCATCATTTTCGTCATCTGTGTTCAGGGCATCCAGTGCAGCCAGGGACCGCTTGTTCTCCTCCAGCTCTTTCTTGGTCTCCTCCTCTACAATCTGGACAGACAGAATAGTTACGACTACTCAGACAAACCTAATTACATTATTTGCTCTCTCTCGATGCTTGCAACCATACCCCAGTACCTTGAGTGTGTATTTGCGCCTCTCCTCAGCCATGCGCTTTGCTTCCTGCTCCAGCTCCTTCTGCTTCAATGCTTCAGCCTCCCGTTCTTGAACTGTCACTCGGTCCTTCCTGCATTACAGAGGTCCTATTAGTTGCCCAAGTCCTTAGAGTAGAGCTCTTTGTTCCCTTAGATCTAGGCCCATTACACAACACCAAACAATCTTTGACTCTGTTACTTGTGAAGAACCAAAAGTGGCAGATATCTCAGGTCTTTAGACAAAGTTCATTCATCTTTGAGGACTGCCTGGATAGCAAAGAATCTGCTGGACTGTAACTGATAGGATTTCTAGTCATTAAAAAAGGAATATGAGTTTACTCTTCCTGCTTAATTTTCTGCTTAAAATTGATAACCTTGAGCAGATATGTGCTCTTTAACGGGAAAGAGAGATGTGAAAACAAACAGGCTCTCTGCTAATGCCAAGATATTCTTTAGCAAGGGTTATAACACTGGGCAAAATGCTTCCACTTAGTGCTTAGATTTCAGAAGATCATTGGATAGAAAAGAGGCTTTAATCCTGGTGTAACTAGTGGATTTGGACCAGGTTTGTGAAATACTTACTTTCGAATGAAGACTGGCTTAAGGCGAGGCTCCATCTCGTCTTCGCTATCTGTGTACTCTTCATACTCAGACTCTGATTCAGACTCCTCCCCGGAACGTCCCTCATCTTCCACCTCCATGACTTCCATCTCTTCGTTTTTCCGCTCCTGTGCTCGCTGACGCATCATGCCACGGCGCCGCTCTATTTCCTGTAAAATCATACATCTAAGCTAGCCGGTCAAATGCTCTTAAAAGGATTTCTTATTTTTCCCTCATCAAGCTCAACAAATTCTGATATGAACCAATGCACCTTAGCATCATTCTATTATTTTCAATCCTATCCCCACCCACCAGGGAACATTATCAGAATTTTGCAAAAAAGAGCAATATTGTGCCAACAGGAGCTTAGGAAATGAGCACTGGCTTCAATTTTTTCATGCACCCAGAAAAACTTCCCATTTTCCTAAACATACCTCATCATCTATTTCCTCCTCCTCTTCTTCACTGCTGTCTTCTCTTTCCATGCGCCAAGCATCTCCTTCTACTTCTGAGTCACTTTCTCCTACTACTTCAGGTTCCACTATTTTCCGATGTCGAGCCAATCTGAAAAATGGTATTTCCAAGGGTAAAACCAGTGTTACAAAAATGAAGGAGTATCAACCACACTTCCTTCGTCAGAGAGTACTCTGACATGTTCACTTTAACACTGAAGGCTAGTGATTGGGAAACTGAGATGCAGGTCAAAAAACCTACACCAGAATGTCAGAGCAAACAGTCAAGTAGAGTGTAAACCGTTAAACATATGCTGAGGCATCCTGAGTAACACAGCCAACTTATGGGGGTGCAAAGGGATATTTTTAATAGCTCAGGGTAGTTCATAATTACAATATTAGATCATAACACATTCCTTTCAATGACATCATATCTATGAAACTGGATTTTTGGTGGTCACTGTGATAAAAAGCAAATACAGCATGAAACTAATGGGAAGGGGCAGGCATTATGGTACACTGGGTTAAGCTGCCCCTCACAACACTGAGACCCCACATCAGAGTGCTGGATTGAGTAGCAGCTATTCCATTTGTAACCCAGCTTTCTGTTAATGTGCCTGGGGAAGGCAGCTCTCTGCTAATGGCCTGAGAAAGCAGAGAAAGATGGCCCAAATACTTGGACCCCTGCCACCCATGTGGGAGACCCAGTAAAAGCTCTAGGCTTTGGCTTGGTCTAGCCATGGCTAGACCATTTGAGGAGTGAATCAACAGATGGAAGATTGATATCTCTGTCTCTGTCTCTTCCTCTCTCTGCAACTCAGCTTTTCAAATAAATAGTTAAAAAAAAAAAAATAAGCAGTACTGGCATCCCAATCCCATATGGGCGCTGGTTTGAGTTCCAGCTGCTCCATTTCTGATTCAGCTCCCTGCTAATGCACCTGGGAAAGCAGTGTAAGATGGCCCAAGTTCTTGGGCCCCTACACCCACATGGGAGACCTGGAAGAAGCTCCTGGCTTTGGATCAGCTCAGCTCTGGCTGTTGCCGTCATTTGGGGAATGAACCAGTGATTGGAAGACCTCTCAGTGTGTGTGTGTGTGTCTATCTCTCTCTGTAACTCTGTCTTTAAAAAAAAAAAAAAAGAGACTACCTTCATTAAACCAACACATCATCTCTGTGTCATATTTTCTTAACAATTAGCACCTCTGGGCCAGAAGTAGCCTACATTAAAAAAAAAAAAAAAGATTTATTATTTATTTATTTATTTGAAGGAATTACAAAGAGAGAGAAAGAAGAGAAGGAAATCTTCCATATGCTGGTTCACTCCCCAAATGGCTGCAATGGTCAGGGCTGGGCCAGGCCAAAGCCAGGAACCAGAAGCTTCTTCTAGGCTTTCCATTTGGGCACAGAGGCCCAAGCACCTGTACCATCTTCCACTGCTTTCCCAGGTATATTAGCAGGGAGCTGGATCTGAAGTGGAGCAACCAGGACTTAAACCTGCACCCATATGGGATGCCAGTGCTGCAGACAATGGCTTAACCCATTATATCACAACACTGGCCCCTAACCTGCTGTTTTCTAAAGCTGCCACTTGTGCAATTTTGGTCATATTACTTTTCTAGCACATTTGTGTCATTTACAAAATGGGACAAGTAATATCTATCTCATAATGTTACCATGTGGATTACAAGAATTAGTAAATATTATCTACTTGGAACAGTGTAAACGACAGTAAGTACTATTCAAGTCCTGGCTATTACTACTGTCGCTGTTGTTAATTAACCTGGTTCAGGGAGACACAGCCCTAGTCATTACCTCTCTTCCACATCTTCACTAATACGGTTCTGTAAACGCCGCAGCCGGGGGTCACTTGATGAATCCTCTTCCTGTTCCTCAGGCTCTGCTTCTTGTTCTTTGGCTTTCTTAATGAACTGAAATTCTTCATCCTCTTCATCAGAGGACTCCATAGGGGCGTAGTCAGGCCTCTTCCCGGACACATAACGTTTTACCTTCACTTTCTCCATCGAAATCTCACCTGTGAGATAGAGAATTAATAATGTTTCCCCATGTCTTTGAACTCTTGGTCTTGGCACACAAAACACGGTATTTTCAGTGGACAACAGTTTAAGCAGAAAAAGCAGGTTGCCACCTATCCACCTATTCAGGCCAAGATACAGGAAGGAATTCTTGTGAATACTAACACTAACAGAAATGAGACCAATCCTGGGTACAGTAAAGAGCAGGAAAGGAGGTGGTAAAACATTAGAAAAACACACCCCTTAAAAGGCAGACAGCATCCATCACTATTTCAAAGCTATTCCACACGTTCAAGCTATTCCACTTGAACTAGACCATTAAATGAATTATTTGTAACAGAGCCCAGCACACAATAAGGGTGATTTAAGAGGGAATGTAAAACTAAAAGCTGTTCAGACATTCTTTTAGTTCTCTCTGGAATGTCCAAGGCAGTCTTTTTTTTTTTTTTTGACAGCAGAGTTAGTGAGAGAGAAAGGTCTTCCTTCTGTTGGTTCACTCCCCAAATGGCCGCTGCGCTGATCTGAAGCCAGGAGCCAGGAGCTTCCTCCTGGTCTCCCATGCGGGTGCAGGGCCCAAGCACTTGGGCCATCCTCCACTGCCTTCCTGGGCCACAGCAGAGAGCTGGACTGGAAGAGGAGCAACCGGGACAGAACCCGATGCCCCAGCCAGAGGATTAGCCAAGTGAGCCGCGGCGCTAGCTCAAGGCAGTCTTTATAACACAGTACCACATAACTCAACACCCAAATCTTATCTCTTTGTATTTTCTTTTCCTTTAACTTATGTGCTATCAATCCTACAAGAGTAGGCAATCTCTTGTACAAATACCAACAATTTCAGTGAATAATATGAAAGAAAAGTAACCAATTTAATTTCTTTCTTTAGGAGGAAAACTCTACAATTTTATTGGAAGAGGTAGATAGCCAAGACAATTCTGAATATAGATAGAGTGGGATAGGGTTTGTATCAGACAGCAAGACTTAAAGTTACAGTAATTAAAACAATGTCTGACTCCAAGAGTACAGAGAGACTAACAGTATAGAGAGCAGAGAAATGTATAGAAGAACCTGAACATATTACTGAAGTGACAGTAAAAATCAGTAGAGGGGTGGGGTGCTCATATCCCGTACTGCAGTGGCTTTGAGTCCTGGCTCTGCTACTGATACCGGCTTTCTGCTAATGTGCATCCTGGGAGGCTGCAGTGATGACTCAGAGAGCTGAGCCCCTGTCTCCATGAGAGAGACCTAACCTGAGTTTCAGATTCCTGGTTTTGGCCCTGATAGCCCCAATGGTTGCAGGCATTTTGGGGAGTGAACCAGCACATGGAAAATTTCTGTCTCTTGCTATCTCTGTGCCTTTCAAATGAACAATAAACATTTTTAAACATTTAATCATATTAAAAAAAACAATCAGTGGAGAGGGGTAGACATTTGGCCTAGTGGTTAAGAGATGTCAGTTAAGACACTTGTCTTTCTTCTCCGAGAGCCCATTTATGACTTCAGCTTCCTGCTAATGCAACAGTGATGGTTCAAGTGGCTGAGTTTCTGCCCCTGTGAGGCAGACCCGGATTGAGTTTCCAGCATTTGGACAGTGAACAAACATATGGGAGCACTCCCTCTTTGATGTGTGCTTGTTCTCCCTCCCTCCCTGTCCCCCTCTTATATATCTGTATCCCAAATAAAAAGCATAAAAAAGGGTGGATAATAGTAAAAAATGGTGTGACAACTGGTCATCCATACAACAAATATTAAAAATAGTAAAGAAAAAATAGACTTCTATCATACAAGCGAAACATCCCAAGTGGATTAAAGATCTGGATATGAAAAACATATCTTAAAATTTACATTCCTGGGGCTGGTACTGTGGCATAGTAGTTTAAGCATCTGCCTGCAGCACTGGCATCCCATATGGGTGCGGGTTCTAATACCGGCTGCTCCACTTCTGATCCAACTCTCTGCTGTGGCCTGGGAAAGCAGAAGATGGCTCAAGTCCTTGGGTCACTGCTTCCACATGGGCAAACTGGAAGAAGCTCCTGGCTCCGGATTGGCCCAGCTCTGGTCGTTGCAGCCATTTGGGAAGTGAACCAACAGATAAAGACCTTTCTCCACACTTGATATTAGCCAAAAGGCCAAGAAACGATATAAGACATTTCACACACACAAAGAAAAAAAGGAGCCGGTGCCATGGCTTAGCAGGTAAAGCCACTACCTGTAGGGCCGGCATCCCATATGAGCACCAGTTCGAATCCTGGCTGTTCCACTTCTAATCAAGCTCTCTGCTATGGCCTGGAAAAACATAAGATTGGACCCCTGCACCTACGTGGGAGACCTGGAAGAAGCCCCTGGCTCCTGGCTTCAGACTGGCACAGCTTTGGCCACTGCTGCCATCTGAGGAGTGAACCAAGGAATGGAAGACTTCTCTCTCTCTGCTTCTGCCTCTCTGTAACTCTGCCTTTCAAATAAAATAAATCTTTAAATAAATCTTTGTCTCCTTCTATAACTCTGCTTATCAAATAAATTTTAAAAATCTTGCACCTCTGATGCTGGCATCCCATATGGGCACCAGTTCGAGTCCTGGCTGCTCCACTTCCAATCCAGCTCCCTACTAATGTGCCTGGGAAGGCAGTAGAAGATGGCCCAAGTGTTTGGGCCACTGCAACCAAGTGGGAGACCCAGATGAAGCTCCTGGCTGCTGGCTTTGGTCTGGCCCAATCCTGGCCACTGTGGTCATTTGGTGAGTGAACCAGCAGATGGAAGATCTCTCTACCTTCCCCACTCTCGACCACCTGCAACTCTGCCTTTTAAATAAATAAAATAAAAAATGTTTAAAAATTGATTTGAAAGGCAAAGTGACAGAGGGAGAGATGAAAGAGATCCTCCATACATTGGTTTAATCCCTAAATGGCCACAACAGCCGGGGCTGGGGCAGGCTAAAGCTAGGAGCCAGGAACTCCACTTGGTCTCCCACATGGGTGGCTGGGGCCCAAGTACTTGATCCATTTGCTGCTGCCTCTCAGGCACATTAGCAGCAAGCTGGACTGGAAGCGAATTAGCAGAGACTTGAACTGTGCACTCAAACTGGAACATCAATGTCCCAAACAGCGATTCAACTGCCATGCCACATCACCTACCCCTAGGGAACAATTTCTTGAACAATATATTTAAAAAGTACAAACCATAAAAGTTGATAAACTGGACAATACTTAAATTAAAAATGTCTTTGTAACCGAGAACTTGATAATTAAAAGTTAAAAGACAAGCCAAAAAAATAGAGAAAAGAATATTATAGAGCTGGAATGTTATATCTAAAAAAAGAGCAAATAGGGTCAAGTGCTGTAGTATAGCAAGTAAAGCCACTGCCTGTGTGCTGGAATCCCATATGGGTGCAAGTTTGAGTCTCGGCTGCTCCACTTCTGATCCAGCTTTCTGCTATGCCCCAGGAAAGCAGTAGAAGATGGCCCAAGCTGTTGGGCCCCTGCACTCACATAGAAGACCTGGAGGAAGCTCCTGGCTCTTGGCTTCATATCGGCCCAGCTCTGGCTGTTGCAGCCATTTGGGGAGTGAACTAGCAGATGGGAGACCTCTTTGTCTGCCTCTCTGCCTTTCAAATAAATAAATAAATCCTTAAAAAAAAAAAAAAAAGAGCAAATGGGTGGGTGCTGTGATGTAGGCAGTTAAGTTGTCACTTGGGACACCGACATCCCATAATGAAGTGCCTGGGGTCAAGTCCCAACTCCACTTTTGATCCAGTTTCCTGGTAATGCACAACCTGGGAGGCAGCCGGTGATGGCTCAAGTACTTGGATTCCTGTCAATTGCATGGGAGACTCTGATGGAGCTCCTGGCTCCTAACTTCAGCCTGGCCCAGCCCTGGCTGTTTCAGGAATCTGAGGAGTGAATCAGGGATGGAAGATCTCTCTCTCTCTCTCTCTCTCTCTCTCTCGGTCTGCCTTTGAAGTAAATAAAACACGCACACACATACAAAACCAAAAACCCTCCAGCAAACAGAAAATGACTGACAGAAAGAGGTGATTCACAGAAAAGAAAACGGAGAGCTAATAAAACACATGAACACACGGCATGGTGGTGCAGTGGGTTAAGCTGCTGCTTGTGCCAGTGGCATCTCACGTCATATAGAGGGCTGGACTGCTCCACTTCTAATCCAATTCCCTGCTAATACACCTGGGAAAGCAGTGGAAGATGGCCCAAGTACTTGGGACCCTGCCACCCATATGGGAGACCTCCTGGATGGAGTTCCAGGCTCTTGGCTTCAGGAGCCATCGCAGCAATTTTGGGAGTCTCTCTCTCTCTCTCTTTTTTTTTTTTTTTTTTGACAGACAAAATTAGACAGTGAGAGAGACAGAGAGAAAGGTCTTCCTTCTGTTGGTTCACGCCCAAATGGCTGCTACGGCCGGTGCACTGCGCCAATCTGGAACCAGGAGCTTCCTCCTGGTCTCTCATGTAGATGCAGGGCCCAAGCACTTGGGCCATCCTCCACTGCCTTCCCGGGCCACAGCAGAGAGCTGGACTGGAAGAGGAGCAACCGGGACTAGAACCTGGAGTGCCGGCGCCGCAGGCTGAGGATTAGCCTAGTGAGCCGGGGTGCCGCCCCCCTCCCCCTTAAAGGTTTATTTATTTATTCGAAAGAGTTACACAGAGAGAAGAGAGGCAGAGGCAGAGGCAGAGAAAGAAAGATGTCTGCCATCCAATGGTTCACTCCCCAATTGGCCGCAACGGCCAGAGCTGCGTCGCTCCGAAGCCAGGAGCCAGGAGCTTCCTCCAGGTCTCCCACTTGGGCCATCCTCAGCAGAGAGCTGGATTGGAAGTGGAGCTGCCGGGTCTCGAACCGGCGCTCACATGGGACGCTGGCACTACAGGCTAGGGTGTCAACCCGCTGCACCACAGCGCCGGCGCCTCTCTCTTCCTTTCAAATAAATCTCCTTGAGTATGCATTCCTTAAGGTTAGGGGCACTGTCTTACACAGCATTGTGTTCAATTTATTAAACATATTCACTCTAATGGTTGAAATGGATACAAAGTTGAGGATGACGGTTCCACATCAAGGAGATTATGCGTTTACTACAATAACTGATGTGTTATAAAAACACCATAAACAGATCGCTAAGACAACGCTCCGCTAACAGATTCACCACATATGAGCCTTTCATAATTCTCATCCTAAGGAATTTGTGGAGCCCAAAAGCAGAGAGTTTACTGCACGTAAGAGCAGAAATGTCTCAGAAATATTAGATGCCTGTCGATCCCCCCGCACCCCCTCCCCAAGCCCCGCTATCGCACTGGGTGCGATTTTACGGTGGGAAGGTGGAAGAAACTGGCAACCGACTTAAGGGTCGGTGGGGCTGGGATGGGAAGCCCAAGGGAGGTTTGCAGGACGCACGGCAGGCAGAGGTAAGATCCGACTGGAAGACGGGTGAAAACAGTACCTTTCTCGTTGCGAACCGGGACGGCCCCGGCCGTAGACTGAATGGGCGGCTGCTTCATGAGTGCGCTCGGTACCGACATGTTGACGACTGCGGCGGTGATTCCCTAAATCAGAGTGCTCCTAAACAGTAAACACCAACAAGGCGAGAAGAAAACCTCCTTCCAGCCTAGGTCCACCGGAAGCTGCTGCGCGACTGAAACTAGTTGCGGCCGAGCTATATAACCCGGAAAAGCATGAAGAGAGGATTGTGGGATACTGGAGGACTTCTGAGCGCCTACAGGTCGCGTCTGTTATTGCGCATGTTCGTAGAGACCGCGCATACTTAATCTCGCGGGATTTGGAAACCTCGTCTGTCGGGAAATTGAGAGGTGTTAGCTGTATAGCGGGTTTGAGATTAAAAAGTTTCACCTTATCCTTGTTTGAAGCCAAGGACGACGGGATAGTGATGGAGCTAGTGAAGGACTGTCTAAATTTGTGAAAACTTGGAAGAACTAGAGTTTGCTAATCTTGTAGAGCTGATTAACGAGTTGATGAGGCTTGGGTGGACCGTGGCGGGGTATTTAGGTGATTTAGGCCAGAGAGAGAGACAAACACACAATTCCTAAGGGACCTGGCAAACGATATCAGATCCTGCAATTCAACTTTAAGGCTCTTAAATTCTTTCAGTTTCTGGTAACCGCCTAATTCAAATACCTAATTCCAGATGGACGTTTGGTTTAGCAAGTAGGATACCGATCTCACACCACAGTTCCTGGGTCCCTATCTGCTGTGTTTGTATTTAAGTCCTAGTTATGATTGAGTATTTATGTTTACCATACTTAGGGTTCTGAAAGGAGTATGGAACATGGCTAAAAAGCTCTTTTCTTCAAGAAGCTAGATTTTTTATTTAGGAAGTCTTGAACACTGTTAGAATCATAACAAAAGCAGCCCCAATTTATAAGTTGTGCAAAAAAATGACTAATTTGAAGTTAACATTTCACCAAAGAAAGGACTTCAGAACTGCTGCGGTGGGATACAGAAGGGACTATCTGAGAAAAATCTTGAAGTTCAGAAATGCTGTGGTAGTTTGCTTTCACCAGTAATTTATTTTTTTTTGACAGGCAGAGTTAGACAATGAGAAACAGAGAAAGGTCTTCCTTTCCATTGCTTCACCCTCCAAATGGCCGCCACGACTGGTGTGTTGTGGCCGAAGCCAGGAGCCAGGTGCTTCCTCCTGGTCTCCCATGCGGGTGCAGGGCCTGAGCACTTCGAGCCATCCTCCACTGCCCTCCTGGGCCAAAGCAGAGAGCTGGACTGGAAGAGGAGCAACCAGGATAGAATACGGCACCCCAACTAGGACTAGAACCTGGGATGCTTGCGCCGCAGGCGGAGGATTAGCCAAGTGAGCCCGGCGCGGGACAGTAATTTTTTTTGACAGGCAGAGTTAGACAGTGAGAGAGAGAGAGAGGTCTTCCTTCCGTCGGTTTGCCCCCCAAATGGCCGCTACGGCCAGCGCGCTGTGCTGATCTGAAGCCAGGAGCCAGGTGCTTCCTCCTGGTCTCCCATGTGAGTGCAGGGCCAAATCACCTGGGCCATCTTCCACTGCACTCCCGGGCCACAGCAGAGAGCTGGACTGGAAGAGGAGCAACCGGGACAGAATCTGGGGTGCTGGGGTGCCGGCGCCGCAGGCAGAGGATTAGCCCAGTGAGCTGCGGCGCGGGCCTTCATCAGTAATTTAAGTTGACTAGTAGTCTGAGTTCTTCAGGTACCAGGTTTTGGAGGGCCTTGAAGGTGCTGCTACTATGATTAGCTCTTTAATGATTTCACCTGTGTACTTAAAAGAGGCTGTGGTATGACAGAAAGTGAAATGGACAAATCTTAAGGAACCAACCAAGGGTATAGTTTGGGGCTAGAAAGAATGCTGAAGAATAGAAAAATTATGGCCGGCGCCATGGTTCACTTGGCTAATCCTCCGCCTGTGGCGCCCCCACCCCAGGTTCTAGTCCCGGTTGGAGCGCCGTCTCTGTCCCGGTTGCTCCTCTTCCAGTCCAGCTCTCTGCTGTGGCCAGGGAGTGCAGTGAAGGATGGCCCAGGTGCTTGGGCCCTGCACCCACATGGGAGACCAGGAGGAAGCACCTGGCTCCTGACTTCAGATTGGCGCAGCGGGCCAGCCGTAGCGGCCATTTGGGGGGTAAACCGACAGAAGGAAGACCTTTCTCTCTGGCTCTCTCTCTCACTGTCTAACTCTGCCTGTTAAACAAACAGAATAGACAAAATTTTATGTCATGGATTTATCAGCTCATAGAATTCTGTTGTCCAGGAGTGAACCTGATGGACAGAAAATTCCTGTGGTTTATGATAACCAAGAGAATATGGCAAAAAAAAGATTAGTATGGCTGTGACTATGAAGCATAGTGTGCTATATTTTATGATATATAAATTATTTTAGTCTCAACTTTTCCCCAGGATTTGGGCTTTTAAATCTCATCTCCAGGGGCCGACACCTTTGCTCATTTGGTTAATCCTCCGCCTGAGGCACCGGCATCCCATATGGGTGCCGGGTTCTAGTCCCGGTTGCTCCTCTTCCAGTCCAGCTCTCTGCTGTGGCCCGGGAGGACAGTGGAGGATGGCCCAAGTGCTTAGGGCCCTGCACCTGCATGGGAGTCCAGGAAGAGGCACCTGTCTCCTGGCTTCGGATTGGCACAGGGGACCGGCCGTAGTGGCCATTTGGGGGGTAAACCATCTGAAGGAAGACCTTTCTCTCTGTCTCTCTCTCTCTCTCACTGTTTATATCTCTATCTGTCAAATAAAAAAAAAATTAAAAACCTCATCTTCAGTTTTTTTGCCAAAGACATTTATTTTGAAGGCAGAGCAACAGAGAGAGGAGAGAGGAGAGAGTAAGAGGGAAAGAGGCATTTTCCATCCACTCCAGTTTTAAATGGTTGCAACACTCAGGCTGGGTTAGGCGAGAGCCAGTAGTTCGTTCTAGGTCTCCCACATGGGTGGCAGGGACCCGAGCACTTAGACCATCATCTGCTGCCTTCATAGGCATGTTAGCCGGCAGCTGGATCCGAAGGCGAGAAGCCAGGACTCTGATATGGGTTACCGGCATCATTCACAAGCAGAGGCTTAACCCCACACCGCACCACACAGTGCTTGCCCCACGGTCTGTTAACAGGTGGACAGAGGCCAGGTGAAATTTAAATCAGCATTAAGTTATGAGCTCTTGAACCAAAACACTTGTCTTCCTAGGAACAAGATAGCCGGGTAGGCATGGGAGTACTTTTCTGGTGGTGGAGTTAGAATTACAAGGGAGCTGTGGACTGTGGTAAGGCTGCAGTGTTGACTTTGCACTCCCATTTTCCCCGCACCCCAAGGCATCTAGGCTGAGCCTGCTCCAGGTTCAGATTATAAGGCAAGGTGTTTTTTTCTTAGAAGCGCCAGTATTTTTCATAAGCGAGATCCCAGTAGCATCAACATCACAATCACCGGACCCAGGGTAAAAATGTTGCCAGGGGTGGCCTGCCTAGGAAGCGCCAGCCTCTACCCTGCGACCCCCGAGGGGAGCACCGAGCCGCCCGCTGTCCCGCCCCCGCGTTCCGGCTCCTCCCACCCGGGCCTTCCGCCTCAATCTTTGGCGGGAAGACGCCGGCTGCTAAGGCGCGGCAAGATGTCGGGGTCCGGCACTGCAGCTGAGGAGAAGGCGGGCTCCAGACAGCGGTCCCAGGTAAAAGTGACAGGCGGGTTGACGCTTCCGCGAGTGTGCTTCTGCCTCGGTCTCCGGCGGAGAGTTTGCTGGGCGCGGGCGCTTGGCACAGGGGATAAGCGGGGATTCCTGCGCTCGTTTTCCTCTGTGGAAAATTAGGCCTTAAGTGTTTGGGAAAGTTCTCATCAGGAATCCTAGAGAGGCAGGAATGGCTCTGGGGCTCCCTTTCTCCTGCCCGCGGCGTTTGCTTTTGCAGAGGTTAGTGACCCTTTCCCGCACTCTGTAAAAACAATTCCAGTTAGTCGGAAACTGACAGTTGGGGGGGTAGGCTCCTTAGTGACAAGTGCTACTCCTCATTATTGGTTTGGCTAACTTACATGGATAAGGAATGTGCCCGGAATGAATAAATATATTCTGATTAATTTCATATGTAGATTTTGGAGGGGCAGAATTTTCCCTTTTTTTTCTTTTTTTTTTTTTTTTTTTTTTTTTTTAAGATTTATTTATTTGAAAGGCAGAGTTACACACAGAGAAGTCTTCCATCTGCTGGTTCACTCCCCGAATGGCTGCAAGGGCCAGGGCTGGGCCAGGCTGAAGCCAAGAGCTTCATCCGGGTCTCCCATGTGGGTGGCAGGGGCCCAAGCACTTGGAATATGTTCCACTGCTTTTCCCAGGCCATTAGCAGGGAGCTGGATTGGAAGTAGAGCAGCCAGGACTTGAACTGGTGCCCGTGCAGGATGCCATCGTTTCTGCACCACAACACTGGCCCGCAAAGGCTTCCTTAACAGGCTGTCAATTTGCATTTATGTTGTCATTATTAAATAGGAATTAGATTTGTTTTTACCAATCTGTAAGTATAAGCCCTGGGATTCTAATTCTGTTTTCCTTTGTTGACCCGAACAGGTGAATGAATATAAAGAAAACGAAAACACTGATTATGTATCTCTGAGACCAATACAGACTACGGTTTTAGGAAAAACAGCAAAGGTTTATCTTACGCCTTTCTCACTGAATACTTACAAACTAGGCCAATTTAAGTGCCCCAAATCCCTATTAGAAAAGAATTCTAACAATGAAGTCATGTGTAAGAAAACTGAAATAAAGAAAACTTGCAGAATGCTTTTAACTCCAAAGATGAAAGCCACATCCTCCAAGACAGAATCTACTGTGCAAAAACCATCCCTAGATATAAATACTGAAAGTAGCAAGCTGCTATACAAGAGTACTTCAGATGTGGTGATTCTCAGTGATGATGTGGAAAGCAGTCAGGATGGGGAAAGTGATGAAGATAACACACCAGGCCTGGTAAGAATTTAATTAGTAGCTTGTTTGTTTTTTTTTTTCTTATTGTTTTAAAATTTGATGCTTTGGTAATATAAGGTTCAAACTATTCTATCATCTAATGTAAGTTTAATGGAAATTTATTTTTTAGCTATTAGAGAGGCAAAGACAGTGAACTCCTGTTTGCTGGTTTACATGCAGAATGCCACCAATGTCCAGAACTGGGCCAGGCTGAAGCTGGCAGCTGGGAACTCAGTCCGGGTCTCCTGTGGGGGAGGCAGGGACCAAAATATTTGATAGACCTGTAGCCTTTTGCCTCTTAGGATCTGTATTATTAGGAGACTGGAATACAGAGTGGAACTTGGACTTGGGTACTTCTCTATGGCATGTGGGCACCCTGATTAGCCTTAAATGGCTAGTCCAAACACCTGACCCCTGGAAATTTAACTTAATTAATTTATTTAAAATGATGTCACATTTTTTAATTTATGCTTTTTATTTGAAAGGCAGAATTACATTCGCTGGTTTATTCCCCAAATGGCCACAATGGCCAGGGCTGGGTCAGACCAGAACCAGGAGCTTCATCTGGCTCTCCCACATGGATGCAGAAGCCCAAGGACTTGAGCCATCTTCTGTTGCTTTCCCAGGGGCATTAGTAGGGAGCTGGATTGGAAGTGGAGCAGCTGAATCTCAAACTGGTGCCCACATGGGATGCTGGTGCTGCAGACGATGGCCTTACCTGCTATGCCACAACACCAGCCATTCATTTTTAAAGATTTATTTATTTACTTTAAAGAGTTACAGAGAGAGGGAGAGAGAGCTTCCATCTGCTGGTTTACCCCCAAGCAGCCGCAAAGGCCAGGGCTGAGCCAGGTGGAAGCCAGGAGCCAAGAGCTTCATCTTGGTCTCCTAAGTGGCTGGCAGGGGCCCAAGTACTTGGGCCATCTTCTGCTGCTTTGCTCAGGCTATTAGCAGGGAGCTAGATTGGAAGTGGAGTATCCAGGACACAAATTGGCGCTCATATGGTATGCCAGTGTCACAGATGGCAGCTTTATTTATTTATTTATTTTAAAAAAAAATTTTTTTTTTTATTTTTTTGACAGGCAGAGTGGACAGTGAGAGAGAGAGAGACAGAGAGAAAGGTCTTCCTTTGCCGTTGGTTCACCCTCCAATGGCCGCCGCGGCCGGCGCGCTGCGGCCAGCGCACCGCACTGATCCGATGGCAGGAGCCAGGTACTTATCCTGGTCTCCCATGGGGTTCAGGGCCCAAGCACCTGGGCCATCCTCCACTGCATTCCCTGGCCACAGCAGAGAGCTGGCCTGGAAGAGGGGCAACCGGGACAGAATCCGGCACCCCGACCGGGACTAGAACCCGGTGTGCCGGCGCCGCTAGGTGGAGGATTAGCCTAGTGAGCCACGGCGCCGGCCCTATTTATTTATTTTTTATTACTTTGTTTTGGGCTTTACCAAAAATTATGCTGGCCTCAGGAAATTTTATTATTTTAAGATTTTATGGGTCGGTGCTGTGGTGCAGCGAGTTAAAGCCCCAGCCTGCAGTACCGGCATCCCATATAGGCGCCGGTTCAAGTCCCAAGAGGTACAGTTACATACAGACAGAGAGAGGGAGAGACAGAAGGAAAGGTCTTCCATCCCCTGGTTCACTCCCCAAATGGCTGCAGTGGCTGAAGCTGAGCCAATCCAAAGCCAGGAGCCAGGAGCTTCTTCTGGGTTTCCCATTGAGGGTGCAGGGGGCCAAGGACTTGGGCCATCTCTACTGCTTTCCCAGGCCATGAGCAGAGACCTGGATTGGAAGAGAAGCAGCCAAGTCTCGAACCAGTGCCCATATGGGATGCCGGTTCTTCAGGCCAGGGTGTTAACCCACTGTGGCACAGTGCTGGCCACTCTAGTATTTCTTTTAAATAAAAAAGGAGACAAATGATGGAGTAGAGAAGAAGATATGTGAGAAACACTTATTAATCTTATTTTATATTTCAAATTACTTTTAAGGAATTAAATATCTCATTTTTTTTTTTTTTTATTTTTATTTTTTTTGGACAGGCAGAGTTAGTGAGAAAGAGAGACAGAGAGAAAGGTCTTCCTTCCGTTGGTTCACTTTCAAAATGGCCGCTATGGCTATCGCGCTGCGCTGATCCAAAGACAGGAGCCAGGTGCTTCCTCCTGGTCTCCCATGCGGGTGCAGGGCCCAAGCACTTGGACCATCCTGCACTGCCTTCCTGGGCCACAGCAGACTGCTGGACTGGAAGAGGAGCAACTGGGACAGAATCCGGCACCCCAACCAGGAGTAGAACCCGGGTGCCGGCGCTGCAGGTGGAGGATTAGCCAAGTGAGCCGCAGCGCTGGCCTAAATATCTAATTCTTTTGACATCTGCTACTTACTAGGAGTGTTGTGCTCCATTCAAAGTGACAATTTTTATGTTAGAGAAGCTAAGAGCATACCACATGAGGCTGGCACTGTGGCATCGCGGGTAAAGCCACTGCCTTCACTACTGGCATCCCATATGGGTGCCAGTTCGAGTCCTGGCTGCTCCTCTTCTGATTCAACACTCTACTGTGGCCTGAGGAAGCTGTAGAAGATGGCCCAACTCCTTGGGCTATTGCACTCACATGAGAAACCTGGAGGAAGCTCCTGGCTCCAGATCGGCGCAGCTCTGGCGTTTGCAGTCCTCTGGGGAGTGAACCAGCAGATGAAAGACCTCTCTTTCTTTGCCTCTGCCTCTCTGTAACTGCCTTTCAAATAAAATAAGTAAATCTCAAAAAAAAGCATACCACGTGACAAAAAATTAATGGAACTAGAGGAACAGAAAATGATGTTGGTGAATGGGTGATAGGATAATTGAAGTGTTGTTATGAAATACAAATTTTACTTATATTTTATTGTTCCAGAGCTAAGAATCAGGACCCAGGTAGAACCACGCAGAGTAAATAATAAATTTATTTGGAGGTTGAAAGTCTAGCCTCTAGGCATGGCCACTTATAAGAAACCTTGTTCCTTTACCTTGCATGGAGGATATTGGCCTATATCAGAATTACGTGGAAGGCTTGTTAAAACTCCACACAGGTGTCAGCGCCGTGTTACAGTGTATTAAAGCCACCTACTGTAGGCCGGCGCCGCGGCTCACTAGGCTAATCCTCCGCCTTGCGGCGCTGGCACACCGGGTTCTAGTCCCGGTCGGGGTGCCGGATTCTGTCCCAGTTGCCCCTCTTCCAGGCCAGCTCTCTGCTGTGGCCAGGGAGTGCAGTGGAGGATGGCCCAAGGCCTTGGGCCCTGCACCCCATGGGAGACCAGGATAAGTACCTGGCTCCTGCCATCGGATCGGCGCGGCGGCCATTGGAGGGTGAACCAACGGCAAAGGAAGACCTTTTTCTCTGTCTCTCTCTCTCACTGTCCACTCTGCCTTTCAAAAAAAAAAAAAAAAAAAAAAAAAAAGCCACCTACTGCAGCACCAGAATCCCGTGTGGTTGCCAATCCAAGTCCTGGCTGCTCCACTTCTGATCCAGCTCTCTGCTAATGGCCTGGGAAAAGCAGTGAAAAATGGCCCAAGAACTCAGGCTCCTCCACCAGTGTGGAAGACCCAGATGAAGTTCCTGGCTTTGGCCTGGGCTAGCCATGGTCGTTGTGGCCATTTGGGGAGTGAACCAGCAGATGGAAGATCTTTCTGTCTTTGTTATATCTCTGTAATTCTGCCTTTAATTAAATAAATGAATCTTACAAAAAAAAAAAAAAAAAAAAAGAAGAAACAAACTCCAGGGCTCTATCATCACCAATTTCTGATTCCAAAATGATGTTGGAGTTGGGGCATAAAACTTGCATATTTTGACCTAAGACTGTACTTTGAGAACCACTGGATTAAATTATCTCTTTGGCCTCTTAGACTGTAAGATTCTGAGTATAAAAAACATTTTAGTTTGATATAAGTAAAAGGGTTCAGGGCCGGAATGTGGCATAGCAGGTTAAGCCGCCCTCTGTTGACACTGGCATCCCATATTGGGGCTGGTTCAAGTCCTGGTGGCTGCTCCATTTCTGATCCAGCTGCCTGCTAATAATGTGTCTGGGAAAGCAGCAGCAGATGGTCCAAGTGTTTGGGCCCCTGTACCCACGTGGGAGACTGGAAAGTCATTCCTGGCTCTTGGCTTTGGCCTGGCCCAGCCCCTGTTGTTGTGGCCAATTGGGGGGTAAACTAGCAGATGGATCACCTCTCTATCTCTCCCTCTCTCTCTCCTTCTCTCTGTAATTCTGCCTTTCAAAAAGATAAAATATATCTTATTAAAACAAAGAAAAATGTCATAAAGAGGACAAGAAGGAGTGGGCATGTGGCCTAGTGATTAAGACATGTGATTGGGATGCCTGCATCCTGTTTCGGGATGCCTGGGTTCAGTTTCTGATTCCATCTTCCTGCCAGTGCAGACTCTGGGTGATAACTTGGGTAATTGGTCCTTGCTGCACATGTGGCAGACTTGGATTGAGTTCCTGGCTCCCAGCTTTTTTTTTTTTTTTTTTTTTAATATTTATTCATTTATTTATTTGAAAGAGTTACACACACAGAGAGGAGGAGAGGCAGAGAGAGAGAGAGAGAGATCTTCCATCTGCTGGTTTATTCCCCAATTGGCCATGACGGCTGGAGCTGTGCCAATCCAAAGCCAGGAGCCATGAACTTCCTCTGGGTCTTCCCACAGGGGTGCAAGGGCCCAAGGACTTGGGCCATCTTCTGCTTTCCCAGGCCATAGCAGAAAGCAGGATTGGAAGTGGAGCAGCTGGGACTTGAACCGGTGCCCATATGGGATGCCAGCACCACAAACGGTGGCCTTACCTGCCACGCCACAGCACTAGCCCCTGGACTCCTAGCTTTATCCTAACCTAGTCCTGGCTGGTGCAGGTATTTTGAGTGAACTGGTGGATGAGAACATGCTCTCTCTCTCTGCCTCTTGAATAAACTGGGGGGGGGGGGGAATGAAAATAGAATTTAAAGATAGGTTTATTTTGAAGCAAAGAAAACTGAAATTCG